GGCGTGCTCTGTGCACATACATTACGTCATTATTTCAATAGGAAATTCCTTACACGCGTACGTATGTATATGCAATGGAAATTCTGTACTCCCCTCTCCTTTACAGCAATCTGAGACGCAGAATGTAGGTTATTATCGCCGATGCCCGAATGCATGTAGCCAAGAAGGACGAAGGAAAATTATGCTGTAGGAGAAGTTGATTACTCCTTAAATAAATTCTGTTGCGAAGCCTAAGGAGGCTTACATTTGGGAAGCTGTTGAAGGCCTTGAAATTACGGCGGATCACATATTAAAAGCGTTTAGAGGAGTATTTTAGTGAGATTTTAAGATCTCGCAGCGGCGAGTATGAAGATGGCTGTCTTCTGGGTTGTAGTCTGGTAGAAGTTTGCCGACGTTTCGGAGATGCTTGCTGCCTCCATCCTCAGGGCGAATCGGCCTGAAGTGTCGGTTAACTTATACTGAACTGTACTGCAAAACATCCCAAAAGACAGCCATCTTCTGGGATCGAGCGATGAGAAAGTATCTGAATATATCGATTGTAGTTTTCCTGGTAGTGGCTCCGTGGACCACGTGGCGTTACAGCCCAGAAGACAGTCAGATGAGGCAGTCCTTTAATGTAGGATACGTTTAGTTTCGTTCACAAACAAGTTCACGGTCCTGTCGCTGTACGTTATACTTTGTACTGTTTTCTGCCAGACGGACACCAAATACTCCGTAATAAAGCATTGTCTGTTTTTGGATGGTGGAGTGGCTTACTGGGATATGGCTGTTATATATCAGTTCTGTAGTAAAGTTTCCCTTGTTTATAAGGTTCTATTCACGATAGCGTTTCGTGTGTTTGAATAAATGTCGGCCGTCTGGGTGGGGCGTGACAGCTATGTTTGTATTGTGTATATATCACAGCCCAGTTGAGCGTGCAACTCTGGGCGTATTTTTTTTCTTACAAATGGAGTTGCTCAACTTTTCGTTTTACAGGTCTTTACAGACTATCGGTACTCAGTTTCCAGTTATTAACTTTGGAAATTATTTCAATATTACTGAAGAAAGTTTTATTAACTCTTGAATTTTATTGACATTTTTTTTACTCTGCATTCAGTTTAGTGAAAGTGAACTTATTTGTATCTGCGGAATTATTTCAAACATTGAAATTTTAAAGTTACAGAAAACTTACGGTCCGGACATATGCTGTATGCATGGTGTTGTCCACTGCAAATATTCTTGTGTGATGGTAATCTTACGCTCTTAAGAATGATTACAAACACAGACTAATGCCATTTTAACATTTGGGTTAGGTTAGGTTCTGTACGCTTCAACCAACATTCGTGGAGAAAGTGGCCAGAGGTGAAGTGATCGTCTTTAGCAGCGAACTAATAGTCCATCGACAAGAAGCTGTTAGAGCACAGTGAGAAAGTCAAAATAAATTATGTTTGCCTTCAATCTCGTATCTTCAGAATAAAAAAAAAGATTCCATTCTCTTTCATATGAAACGAGTTTTACATCAGATAAAAAACCAGCTCTTGAGTTTCTGTGCAATTTAAAAGTCGCATGTCGTACAGAAAGTCAGTGTCTCCCACTACTCCTAGACCCACTCAGAACGCGCTCCATCTCGAATGAGTTAGTGCCATCTGGGACTATAATTTTTTCTCATCTGACTTAACGTAATTTCACGATTACTTATGAATTTAGCTTTGTAGTCTTCAGTACTTCTTCCTTGTATGAACATTTTACGTTGCCAATTGTTCATTGGTTGAGGTATATTTGATATACACGACATTTTGGTATTTGACTCCACACTCATTTTAAGATAAATTATTGCCATTAAACAGAAATTGGTTTTATCTTGAGGTAAATTTCCTACGGTTGGAATCGAACCCGTGATCTTTTTTTACATCAGGCTAGACGTGTGCTGGCTGTGTATGTAATTACTTGCCACAATCTGTATTTTCATGTATGATTGAAAGTTATTTGCTATTTTAGGTCCTTCGTTGATGTAGAATGTACTACTTATCAGATACAGACTGCAAATTATTTACAGAAATTGTGGTTCGAAAGCCTACAAGGATGATATAACTCTGAATACCTAGGTGTAGATGAGAGAATATTGGGTGAGACTCTTGGACGGGACTGTACCAATATACGATATGACGACACACACACACACATATATGTAATAGGAAAACCTATTATTATCCATGACTGCCCAAGTTCTCAGTAATAATTCTATTTTACAAGTGTTGCTATCATTAGGCAGCTTTTAGAAATGAATATAAAGGAGATAATTTTACGAAAGGGATGAAATAAAGGCAGAAAAGGGGTAAGGGATGAAGATACGAAAGCAGTCGTTCCCCGTTGAATTTAAACGGGCCTTCTCTGCTAGTTGCAGTGAAATGAGGAATATTACAATAATACGCTATTCGAATAACTTAACAAAAGACGGCCAGGCTGCTGGCAAGCGAATTGTGCATTGGTGTGTCTGCTCCGACGTGGTTTGATTGTTCACCAGTCGTAATGAATTATAATACTTTACAGACCAATTCTGGAAGTCGATTCAGGAGTTTGTTTGGTATTTATATGTTTAATTTTTTGTGATTGATCGAATAAGCTGATCCATCAGCGTCGCCTTTGACTTTTACTCAGGACAATTTGTTCAAATCTCACCCGGAGCACTGGAGTTACTGATATTTTCGTGGTTTTCCTCATTCCTTCCCCGAAACATTTTGGATGGTATCTTGAAACAACCCACACTATTACATGAGTTGCATTCTTTATAAAATTTGGCACACATAACCGTCTTTTATTTTTATTCGTCACTGAATAATCTGTGCAGTAATTGCCGTGCCGTTAAACACAAAGTGTCATCTGATGTCCCGCTGAACTCGGTTGAACACCAAACGAGGTTATTACTAGCCCACCCGTGCTATTCATACGAGTCGTGTTAAATTTATGACGCAAGAGACACACTCTCTGTACCAGCACAGTCGTAATGGTTTACGTTAATTATCGCAGTTACTCATTTAAACTTATTTTACGACTGTTTATTTCCAACTGTTAAAAATAACGCACATATGCCATATTTACAACACGAAAACTGCTTATTGTGTACTGAAAATTATTTTATATACCTGTTTGTGGGAAGACGATGCGCAAACACCATAAAATTGTAAGCTAAGTACATAGTGACAGACATCATACATAAACTATAATTATGTGAACATTCTCTAAGCATCTAATCTTTGACAGAGAGGGTCATATATTCCTTTACTCACTTGATGTATTGTTTGATCATTTTATTGGCTTTCTGAATGCTATCGCTGAATCCAAGTGCTCACGGTAAATAAATCGACTCAGTACACATGTTCTGTCTTCATCTTGTCTGACGTAAACATGGAACAGAATTGCTGTGTTATAATGCAAGTCAAACAACGTGATGAAGGTACATAATTTTGGTGTGAATTACTCAAAGGAAGGAGGGACCATTTGGGAGGGAGGCCTTGGCGTAGCCTGTGTGGGCGTATAAAATCTACGTTTATCTTAGAGGAGAAGTAGAGTGTGGATTACTGTTCTTGTAGCTCAGTATGGAGCCCAGATATGCCTTTATGAGCACAGTAATGAATCTCTACGTTCTGTAAAAGCGGAAAGTTTATTCTTGTTCTTTATTACGCCAGGAGGTTGGCGACATATTATGAACAGGATCCTTCCATCCTTTTCTCGGACTGGGACCTGTTCATACACGTTCTTGGCAGATGATCCAGAAGTGGTTTGCCATTGCCTTCTTCTGTGTGTGAATGGAGTAATTGTTGGGATGCCACAGAGGAAAACTCCGTGTTGCCTAGACCACGGCCTTGCCCAACACAAGTTATAAATCTGAGCACCGGGAATTGAACCCGGGACCCCAGGATTACAAGGCCAGCGTCCTAACCGCTAGACCACCGTGGCCCCAACACAAGTTATAAATTCGGGCACCGCCGGGAATCGAACCCGGCACCAGAGAAAATTTATTGACCGACTTAAATAAACCCTTTGAAGTCGAATGAATGTGACAGATTCTCCTCCAAATAACATTTAAAAATTCAGGTCTTATTTCAGATGAAACAACGCTTCTGCATTATAAAGATCAGCTCGAAAATAATTGCCGTTTATTATGAGAAACAAAAAAATATGTAAAATATACGCTCTCTGAGTAAATTTAGAGTTACTGATTGTCGAAGTGTGTGGTATATACAGTTACCTCTGGGTTTTAAAGTGTTAAACGAAGTCCCTTATCCGTATATAGTAAACGAGGTGTGGTGAAGGTCCTGAGGAAGAAACTGCATTTACATATTTGCTCATTTTACATCGTGGTATCTACTGGTGAGGATGTGTAGCGTCAAATGGGATGTAGTAGGTTGATTGCGAATAATGAATTTGCGAGCATAAGGGAGATGTCAGCCTTACCTTATTTTATGCAGTCCAGTGCCGTTTCGTAATTTGCGAGAGGAGACTTTGAAAAATCACAATGTAAGTCGGGAAAGTAATTTTGCGAAACAATACTTAACCGAGTACCGAACAGGTCGGGCTGCGGAGTGGCCGATGTTTTATGTCCATAGTCAAGAAAATGTTGTAAGACAGTCGTTTTAGTTGTAGTGAAGTTGCTGGATCAGTAAATTGCTTGAATTGCTGCTTGTTTCGCTTGGTATAAAAACCTGCTGAAGGTCTGCTTTCAGTTATGTGTTTCGTTTCGTTATGTCGGTTATTTTTTGTTAAATTCGTATTTTATACCGCTCAGATCATTTTGTATTTGTCTGGTGTATATATTATATATTTTTCCCCCTGTGATACGTCTTCGTATCGACGTATAAAATGTAGATTGTGGATTGTGGTCTTCTGAATTTTGACACCGTGTATTCTTGTAGGTGTAAACCTCCTATATTTTGAAAAGGACTGGCCTATTAATGCGGAACGGGTCAACAAGTTGCCCAATTCTTTGATTACTCGTTGATAATTTACCTTAAAGCGTAATGTACAATACATTGAAACTTTATTCAGTTCTGGGATATTTACAAGAAATCGTTGCGTGCTGTAACCTAGACCCAGTACTGTGCGGGTTGCAGATTGTGCTGAATGATTTTGGAAGAAACCCTTCTGGAAGCGTTGCTGGGAGTGTGAGGCCCTGCGATTTGTCTGCCTATGGGACAGGATCTGTCCCGCCTTGAATACCCAGATGAGAATGAATCTTCGCCATGGCTGGCTGGCGTGTTGTGACCGGGGAAGTCAAGTCGACTAGCCTCGAAGTTAGTGGACCTGAAGCAGTTACAATATCTGGATAGTCTTGCACCAAATAATTATGCTGGACACTGTTAATTGTCTAGGATATATTTGATACATGTGCTGGCGTCTTATAGGTGATTGGTTGTTGCTTTATGTTTTTAATTTACGTAGTAGTTTCACATATTAAGATGGCCGTCTTCTGGGATGCTGCGCCGTTTAGTCTTGGTCTGGCAGACTTCTACCAGTCTGCACGATGCAGCATCCCAGAAGTTGTCTCCATACCCTCCGCCGCGAGTACCTGATATCTCACAATGCGTTATATTAGTCGAAGTTCGGAGTCTGTAACTGCAAAATGGTGTTGGAATACCTGCTACGGACCCGTTCTGTTGCGGTTGTGTTGAAAGACATTCCAACGAGGGGTGCCACCGGTCTGGACGAAGTATGCTGATGTCTCAGGACTTCACCTGACATGTAGCTTGTGCTCGGATCTTCATCTCCGTTCAATTCGCGAAGACGTGATGCTAGATCGAAGTTACTAACGCCAGCAACGGGTGTTGATTGCCTGGGATGTGTGTGGGCGTCGCTTTGGCTGTCATGGAGGTCCGGTGCTTGGCTGCGTTGTGTGCCTGCAGAACGTTCTATGAGTTACTAATTGTTATATCTATATATTAAACAGGGAAAAGAGCAGGAACTTAAGACTAAGCGACGTTTTGGAAAACCTAGGGTCGACCACGAGAAAAACCAGAATCAAAGAAGCTGACCTCACCCAATAGCGTAATAACAGTCACACAGAAGAATGCTTGATAAACGAATAAATAGCATAATAAGAAAGTAGCAACGGGATTATTAGAGCAAAGGCTTTTGTACACATTTAGAGACATTGTCGATGAAGAATGTTTGCAGACAGTTTGCCGACTGTGTTTGCGGAACATTCCAAAGAGTTTTGCGTCCATACAGCTAACTCATCAGCCGGTTCAAAACATAATGCCCTGTGAATGAAAATTGCACTCGACGTATATTTCTGCTAAATGAAAGGCGGTAACATGTGTGTTTGTGGTCTAGGCACTTTATCAAAGAAGGAACGTGATTTAGAAGTAGAAGATGGAAGTGGTATTGTAAATTTTATAAAAATGACACAGACCAATTTTGAAGTGTTCCTACAAATTATTTATTGCAAAATATTGACCTGCGTCGTATTTTCGCATGTTCACATTCTGAGCACTTGCTCGGGTTAATGATGGCACACGTATCTTACTTCCCATTTCCAACGGGAAACATGAAACGTATAATGTTTGTTTGCGGACTGTTTGCTAACACGGACGAAACTTGTTTGTAAATTGTTTTCCAATACTGTTTACCCATAGGTAGGTGTATATGAGCCTTTGTAAGAAGAAACCAATACATCAGATAACAGCATAGTATCCAGGACACAAGAATGGTCGAACAAACAAAGAAATGAATGGAACAATCATGTGAAACGTTATGACATTACCGAATTCTTAGAATAGCAGGTTATATTTTTCTAAATTAAAGTAAAGACAGCAGCCAACAGCATGGTATTTAGGACATAGGAGAATGGTTGAACAAACTAATAAATTAGCGGAACAATTATGTATTACTTATGGCACAAAACCTTATTTTTTGAATAAATAGACGAATAAAAAGTCATTACACCGGCCAACATCATAGTATCCACGATATTGAGGAGTGGTTGGACGTGCGAAGAAATTATGAGAATATTCGACGAGTCCTTGAATAGCAAACATTGGAATTCTTATAGGAAGGAGAAAACTGGGAGACAGAGCTCTTTGAAAATATGTGGATGTAGCAGTTTATTACGAGTAGGAGGAGGGCTGATTGCACTCCTTAGGGGGTTTATCTGTCATGCATGGATGTGGTTTCAGTACAACGTTCCAATTGTACAAGTGACTTTTCTAATATTTCGAAGCTCGTGGAGAATATCACACAACAAAGAACTTCGCAATGTATAAACTTTACCCGCTATTGTTATGGGAGCGAAATGAAATAGATTAAGGTGAAGTGAGCTTGAGAGGAGAGGGTTTAAAAAGCAACCGCTTAAAAACTAGGAAGTAAAGGCGAGTTTATATTATGATGGG